CTACCTTAAATATTACAGACCTTAATTCATGGTTTATACCTACACATGTGCCCTTAACAATAATATATAATGGTTGTAGTGATCAAAGTTCTTGATAGAGATTTGAAATATATATGTGAAATGCTCTTTAAAAGTAGAGATTATAGGGCTGGAAGTAATTCATGGTCACTCGTGTGTGTGTGTACGTGTGTGTGTATGTATGCAAGTGTGTTTTTGCATGCATGCTCATGATATGTTTGTATGTGCAGGTGGGTGTGGCTGTACACATATGTCCATTTTTGTGTTAAGGTAAGAGATCAAAAGGGAGCTTCTTTCTCTCTTTCTCCCCATCCTATATTTTGAGACAGTGTGTCCAGCTGAAACTGGAGCCCACCAATTAGTTAGATTGTCTGGTCAGTGATAGTCCCGACTCTACTTCCCACACTGGGATTATAGGCAGAATGCCCATGCCAAACGTTTTATGTCCTGTTTTACATTTGTGCATGGTACATTTTACCCAGACCCATCTTCAAAATCCATGATATTCATTCTTTAATCTACAGAGAAAAGGCAGTTGTGGGTCCCATCATGTCTTCCTAAACAGAACTGCACTGGTACTGTTATTCATGTGATACTATTATGTAGTTGTTTCTCTTCTGTCTTGAGTCAGAGCAGATGGCATCAACAGAGGAGATTTTCATAAATTCCTGTCCAGTAACATTTCTGTTGCAGTAGAAGGGAGGATCATGATATTCACAAGGCAACTTAGCTTTCAAAAAGTCCTCATGATGGCACCCCAGTCCCTGAGATTATATGGAAAATAAACGGTGAGCTAAGACTAGTGACTCTTCAGTGGTGTAGCTGAATTTGTGCTGCCCAGTGACATTTTCCTGTAGTAAGACACTTTGTGAGTCATCTGGGTTTCAGAGGTGACTATTATATGGTGCACATTTTTATGAGATGTCCATGTGTTACGTGGAACTCTTCTGTGCTATAACTGAAAATTATATACTTAAGAGAAGGCCCAGTGGCACAGCTGCCTTTGACTCCGCAGTGAGTTGATAAGAGTTCAATAAACTCCTTGATTCACTCATCTTGTCTTGAAAGGAACCCTTTGCTTGGTCTGCTGAAGCCTTCTATAGTGGCTGAGTACATATTTCTTTACATCCCTTCAGTATAATTCATGTAATATTTGTCAATCAAATAGGAACAAGGACTTAAAGAGGTGAGGAGGTGGTAATTGAGGAGAAAAATCTAGTGATTCATTCATTACCTTCTATAAGCTATGAAACATCAAGCCTGTTTGCTGTGATATAACTTGTTTTCTTAGGCTCAGAGTCAGAAAAAATGTACCTGTCCCTACTAGATTGGAGCCCTGACCCCATGTTCTCTCAGTGGTCCCAAATGGCCTTGAGTGTAGAGACCCAAGTCTGCCTTGCTAGGTGGGGAGCCTCGTTTCATTGGCTGCAGTGATACCAACTGGTGACAGAGTCCTGGACACTGGGACATGTTCTTTTCTTTACCACAAGTTGTTTATTGAAAAATTTGAAAGGTTTTTATACAAGGAACTGTCAGTCACATGGGGTTTGACAGTTACATACAAAGATTTAGGGCATAAAGAAACAGGAGATATAGCTTTTTAGTTGGTGCCAGCTAGGGGTTGTTTGGAAAGCAGGATGCTTGAACTTTTACTCAGGGTTACCGGTGCCTATTTGGTAATTTATTGGCCACAATGTTTTCTTTCTTAGGGCCAAAAGCATGGTAAACTTTTAGCTTTTAGTCCAGGAGTAAACCTTTAACCTGGCCTAATCTCTTAGTTAATGATAGCTGAGTTATGTTGAGGACAAGGAGGTGGACTAAGGACTGTTGACCACGATTATTTCCCTCAGAGCAAGAAGCTTAAACTTTGGACGTGGCTGCTTTTCTCTTGACAGCCCTGCAGTGTTCTACAAGAGGGGTTATCAGAGCTTCTGTTTTCAGCGCCCTCCCTTTAGCGGAGAACATAGCTTTGACTTAAAAGTTTTGGGCTCATCTTGCCCCAGGGCATGCCATCCCTACACTTGAGACTAAGTTAGGGAACTAAATCTCCCCTTATAGACATAGTGTCTTTGGGTAATCCAAATGTCCTACGGGTTGCCAGCCTAGGACCGCCTCCTATTCCCAGTCTCCATTTCTCCTTCCTAGACACCCAGAAACCAGCCAGGCTAACACTAGGGACACTCTAGGTGCCTTGGTTGGCACTGAGCCCCACCTATGGTAATGAGACATCTCCCCCAAACCTGCTCCATTAAGGTCTCCCACATATCCTCATTGCTGCCATCCTGGCAGGACCTCTGCTTCCTCCTGTCTGCTCGTCCTCCATTTAGGACTGGCAAATCCCCAGATCACTGCATAACTTGGAATCTACAGTTTCCCCACTTGACTCGGAGGCTCAAGCAGGAAATCTACTCTTTCCTCCCCATTTCCGTCCAGTTGATATGTCCAAAAGTCCACAGCTACTTGCCAGGCACTGCTGCCTCCCTCCAGACCATTTACCTCCATTTGAAACTCAAAATATCCTAGCCAGCTGCCTGGCAGGGATTCTCTAGCTGTCCCATGTGGCCTTGAGACCAAGGACCAGTTCACAATGCTAGTAGACATTCACTCCAAGCACCTTGACCGAGCAGCCTTAGGGACCAGACAGGACCAACACATGGAAGACTTAAGTACAGAGCATGTAGCCCTCAATGCAAGACCAAAAGAGCAAATCAAAATCTCCGCCATACTATGAATTAGTCCACTTCTGAACAAGGAATGGATGATTGGCACAAAAATGGAAGAAAGGAAAACTCAACTAACAAACTAAATGCAGGTAGGGAAATCCCAGTCCCGAAAAAAAAAAAAAAACAACACAAAAATCAGGATAACAAGCCTCCTCCAAAGATTCCAGATTTGATAGTAATAGGCACTAACTTAAGTGATCTGGAACACAACACAATAATTATAGTTATGTTCAAACAACCCAAAGAAGACACAAATATATTCCAAAAGAAAAAAGCACAAAGAAGTGAATAAAGTAGGAAAGCCAATCCAATATACGAAAATAGAATACAACAATCCTCTATATCTTTTTATTTATTTATTCATTTTTTGGTTTTTATTGAATTTTTGTGTATTTCATACAGAACACCTCAATCAATCTTAATAATCCATACTCGATCCCCACTGGCACCCTACCACAGCCCCTCCACTGGAGTTCATACATTCTGTAATTTGTGTTAAGGCCTCTTGTGTCCCACTGAGGTCTAGCCAGCTTATCTAGCCAGCTTTAGGAAGATCAGCTTTTCCTCACCTAGCAATAATTTGTTACCAATATTTCTTTAGCTAAGATCGGGGTCTTCTGTCCATTTCCCCAGTTCTATGCTGGATTTTTGTCTGTATGAATTTGCATAGGTCTTGTGCATGCTGACACCATTGCTGTAGAATCATATGAACAGGAACTTGTAGTACTTCGTTTCCACATGGTCATGCACCTCCTCCCTGGCTCTTACAATCTTTCTGACCCCTCTTCTGCAATGTTCCATGTGCCCTAGGTTGGTGAAGTTTAATATAGGAATCCTGTCCAAGAACCAGCATTCTGCAGACTCTTAGTCTCTATACTTTGGTCATTTGTGACCTTTTCTCTTCCTGGCCCTCTGTTGCATGGATGGAGATTCATTAATGAGAACTGAGAGATTCATTAGTGCCTGTTTTACCCCTGTTCTTTGTTCTGTGAGCCTTAGGTGTAGAGGTTGCATCACAGATGTGTCACTTAGGCCTGGGTAGTTAATAGACAATGTCTCTGTGTGACCAGTTGTGGTACTCATTAACAGTCTCTGCCTTGTGCAAAAGAAGTTTCTTTAATGAGTGGTGATTCGGATATTTGTCTGTAAATGTAAGGATACATATTTTGTACATAGTAAGAACTTACATTAGTCTAGGGATGTGACAGTTTTAGAGTTTTCTCTAAGACCGATGGCCTCTCCAGCCATGTATATTTGTTTATATTTACAGTACCACACTTGAGTTTCCTTCTATTGAGCAAACTTTAAAAAAATATTTTACTTATTATTTTTATTTTTTATGTGTTTGAGTGTATTGTGTGCATGTGTGTAAACCCGCCCTTGTGCTGTAATGCCCATAGAGGTCAGAAGTGAGTGTGGGATCCCCTCTAACTTAAGATGCAGATATTTGCTAGCCATCATGTATATGCTGGGAATCGAACCTGGGTTTTCTGCAACAAGAGCCAGAGCTCTGAAACACTAGGCATTCTCTCCAGTCCCAGGATTGCAATTTCTTGCACATTTCCCCATGACTATGGTGGGATTTTTGTCTGGTTTGACCTGAATAGGATTTTTGCATGCTGTCGCTATTGCTGTAAGTTCATGAGAGTTCATGATGAGAGATCAGCTGTCTGGAAGAATCTGTCTCTCTGTATTATCCATCTACTATTAGAACCAAATTTGCATAGTGATAAGATGTGAGGGAAGAGAAGTGGTCTGT